CTTTTCCCGCCTCACATCTCCACCTATCAAAACCCACCCGAACTTCAACACCAGCTTACACACCATGCCTTTCATGAATCCTTCCTTGATCCCTTTCCCCACTGCCCCTCACCCCTATATAAATTATGTTTCCTCTTCTGGATGCTCAGGGAACATTTCTAACCTCTTTTATGAGGCTCATGACACTAGTCCTTGTATTATAATTATTAATATTTTTAATTATCAATTCAATATCTTTTTTATTTAATTTAATTAATCTATTAATTGATTCTCTTTCCCACTAGCCCTTGAGGGCAGAGACCCTTCTAGTCAATGCTGGATCCCCTTTGTGGTTCTTTGAAGATGCTAGGTGATCAACTGTTTGTTAAATTGAGCTGGAACAGAAAATAAGCTCCATCTTTCTGTTATAAGTTCAGAGTATTTCCTCTTCTGTAGAGATGGAAGGCAGCTGTGACCTATGGCCTCAGTGTCTACCCACTCACACTATTTCCTCCTTTTCCCTCCAGGAAAAAAATACCACCAGCCACTTGAAATCAGGCCCTTTATTCAGGACAGAGATGGAATCTGTTGCTGTAGTCAAAGTTCCATCAGGGGCACTAAGCAAGAGTAAAAAGTCACACATCCCTGGAGCATAGTCCTCAAGTGTCCATTGGTGTCACTGCAGGGCCCAGGGCTCAGAGACAAATGAGCTTCAAGGGGGTGGAAAGAAGCAAACTGAGGTAGCTGTAGGGAAGAGGAGTTCCAGGGACACGAAGTGGGCAAAGAAGCAGCAAAGACAGCAGACACTCACAACTTCTCACAGAGCCACTGGTCCAGCTTCTCAGAGCAGAGTGGTTTATGGGCCAGCCTGATAATGGAAAAGGAGACAAGGCCATTGGCTCACTGGATTCCAGCTCAATCTTCCCTCTAGCTTCATCCCCAGAAGAGCTCAGCTGGAAGAGTGTGGATGGAAATTACAGAAAGGCTTTCCTAGCCAAATGGCAAGGGACACCAAGCCACCTAATGGGATAGGATCCACTATTTTTAAACTTCAAGAGAATTGTAGGGTAGAGAAGATGTACAATGGTTCCAAGGGCTTACTTTGGGGTCTAGGACTAAACAAGTAAAATTAGATGTCCTAGTCCAGGTGAGGGGAGGCCTGGGTCTCAGCCCTCTAATAAGGAAATTTTATTGGGAAAATCGCTCAACAGGAGTGGTCTGAAAGGCTTAAAATTTTGAGACCTGAGTTTGCTCAAAGAGTTTTGTGTTGGAGACTACATTCCAGATTAAATGACCAGGGGAAAGGGAGAGAGGGGAGTGGTACTGGGCCTAAAGGGCTGAGAAGGTGGGGAAGGGGGAAATAGAAAATAGGAAAGGGATTCACCAGTAGTCAATGCCCTCGTTATCCAGGATCTTCTTGGCACACATCATGTCATCAGTAAGGTCATCATCCAGGAGCTCTGGCAAGAGTTACAGGAAAAGGAGTGAGACAGCTAAGTATTACCAAGAAAGGTAATGAGTTTCCCTCTTCCCTGGATCCCGTAGTCTGGCCCTTCTCTGAACTGGAGGCTTATGCCCGTTGCCTTTCTAAATGAGAAAGCTAATACAGTAATGCCTTCCCCTGGATAGGGACTCCCTTCGCTCTCTGGGGCATCTCAACTTCAAGAAACTGTCAACTCCATCAACCGATTTACTCTGAAAATGTATGGTATCAGCCTTCAAGATCCCCAGACAGCAAAGATCAACTACCTGTTAACTTCAGGGGACTGCTAACTGGATTTGGTGATCATGAAAAATTCTAACAACTCCTTACTTGGTACTATCAATCCAAGTCCCACAGTTGATGTGGCATCCAAAGCAGTGAAGCTAGAGGTTTGACACCGAAAAGGAAGTTATCCCAGGGGTAAGCTCCAGAAAAACAGAGAAACAGGGTAAAAAAAGGCTACTCACTGTCACAGGAGATATCACAGATGTTCCTTGACTGAGGGTTCTGATTATCCCTGCACCAAAGTTTATTATTGATCTGGAAGACTCCGTATTCTGTGCTGCCACTATTATTGACTATGGTTTGTGTGTCATAACCACTGATGTGAAATATTGTGCAGATCCCTGAGGGAAAGATGAGAAAGAGGTGTCACAAAGATGTCTAGGCACAGCATAAATGGGGACCTGTATTCCCAGACAGGAAAAGGCTCTCCAGCCAACCTCCAAATATGGTATATCACAGAGCATTTTGATGAGATGGAAAGAAGAGTTCCGAAAAGGATCAGACCGTGGTAGAAAGGAAAGATATATGAATAAATGTGATAAAAAAGTAAACAGATAGGCAAAGAATATGAGGAGTATTCGATAATTGAGTGAAAGAGGAGAGGAAAAGGGGAGGGAAAGGAGGGTGAAGTCAGAAGCAGATGGAGAATGGGAAGAAGCAAAGCAGAGGAGGAACTCACATTCAGGGAGAGTGATGCTTCCATAGCCGTCCATGTCCCTCAGCACCTGGGACAGCTCGCATTTTGTAAATTGTTTGGCCTGGAGGGCAGGGAACATGATGCCCACCAAAAGCAGAGAGACAAAGGACACCATTTTGGCTTCCCTCAAGAATCTGAAATGGGGCAACCACACTGCTTCACCACCTCTTATTTGTAGAGAAAACTTCAGGGGCACTGGCACCTTTATCCAGGAAGGGGATGAAGAAAGACTGGACATGCCAACACAGAAACCATGAGCCTGCCAGCTTCCTTAAATATTCTTACCCCATTTTGCCTTCCCTTCCCCTAATCTGTAATCTATACCAGGTATTGTTCTCTGTCCAGAGTGAGTTCCAAGCATGATCCTGTTCCCCATCTGGCTTTGTTCATACCTTTGTTTCTTGTAGGGCTGGTTCTTAGAAGCAGGATGTCCCCAGCGTACTTCAGGAACAAAGGAGGCCTCAGGGGTAATACAAGTGAGGCAGTCAGAAAATACAGTAAGGGTCCATTGCCAACTCCCTCTTCCTCCTAGAGACAATCGGAGTATGGAAAAAGAGTGTATGTTATCATTTTTTATCATATTGTCTTCTTACTAAGTTGGAAGAGTTTTTTGTATGTACGAGATACAATTTCTTTTCCAGATATATTTATAGTTAATATTTTCTCTTAATCTATAGCTTGCCTTCTCATTTTCTTAATAGTATCACTTGAAGAGTGCAAGTTTACTTTGATAAAGTCCAATTTATCATTTTTCTCTTTTACATCTAGTGTCTTCTGTGTCCCAGCTAAGAAATTTTTGCCTACATACTCCAAGTCATCTCCCTTATGTTTTCCTCTAGAAACATTATCGCTTTAGATTTGTCATTTAGAGGTATAATATATTTTGAGTTAGTTTTTGTGTGTGGTCAGCATTTGGTTTGAGTTTTTTTTTTCTATATGGACAGTTGTTCAGTAAGTTTTTTATATCTACCCAGTTGTCCCAGAACATTTGCTGAAAAGACTCCCTTCATCCTATTGAATTACTTTTGGCATCTTTGCCAAAAAGCAACTGAAAATGTTATGTTCATCAATTTCTATACTCCTACTTTGTTCCATATATAATATATCTTTTGCTAATACTACACTATTTTGATTACTATAGCTTGATGATAAACCTTGAGGTTTTCTTTTACAAAATTGTCCTAGCCATTTCAGATCCTTTGATTTCCATGTATTTTTTAATTTCCTAGTTTTATTTGTCTCTTCTAATTTCTAACAAAAAATCCTGGTGGAATTTTTTATTTGAGATTGCATTAAATCTATAGATAAATTTGGGAAGAGCTGACATATTAACAATATCGAATCTTCTAATCCATGAATATGGTATATTTCTCATTATACTAAATAATTTCTGTTTTCTCATTTTCTCTGTGTACATCTTGCTCACATTTTGTTATATTTACCATGTGTTTGATGTTATTTTAAAAGGCATGCTAAATTTCATTTTCTGATTGTTTATTGCTAGTTAATAGACACAAAGTTAGCTTTTGTATATTAACCCTGTATTCTGCAAAATTGTCAAACCCACTCATTAGTTCTGGTATTTGTAGTTTCTCTAGTATTTTCTGTATACATAATCATATCATTTTATGCATCAAAATAAAGATGGTAATGTACTCAGAGTTTTTATTACTATGAAATTTTTCACATTTTTTTCTGCATTTATTTTTCCCTTTTGTTCTTTAACATGGTGAATACATTGATTCATTTTCTAATATTAAACTAATCTTACATTCCTGAAATAAGCCACACTTGATCATGATATATGAGCACATTTATATACTGCTGGAATTAATTTGCTAAAATTTTGTTAAGGATATTTTTCTGTCTGTATTCATGAGGGATACTGATCTGTGATTTTCTTTTTCTATAATGCCTTTGTTAGATTTTAATATTATTCTGGATTATTCTGGCCCACAAAACAAATTAGGAAATGTTCCCTTCTCCTCTAGCTTCTGAGAGAGTTTCTTAAGGGTCTGTATTATTTCTTAACTTATAATTTTAAAGAATTTGCCAGTGAAGCCATCTGGGTCTGGAGTTTTCATAGTGGGAAAGTTTTAACTTGTGAATTTAATTTATTTTGTAGATATATGGTTATCCAGATTTTTATTAATTCTTGTGCCAGTTTTGGTAATTGGTATCTTTCAAATAATTTGTCCATTTCACTTAAATTATCAAGTTTATTGGCATATGATTGTTCACAACATTGCCTTTTTATTCTGTTAATATCTATAGTGTCTGTAGTAGTGTCTCCTATTTCATATTGATAATTTGCGCTTAATCTGGGTTAACCTAGCTGAATATCAATTTTATTGATTTTTTCAAAGAGGTTATTTTTTTGTTTTATTGATTTTTCTCTATTGTTGGTTCCTTCTGTATTTCATTGATGTCCACTCTTTATTTCCTTTGTTCTATTTCTTCAAGTTTGTCTAGCTATTCTTTAGGTAGCCTCTTAAGGTGGAAGCTTAGATTATTGATTTTAAATTTTTATCTTTTCCAATGTAAGTATTTAAAATTCCTGCTAAGCACTGCTTTAGCTGCAATGCCCAAATCTTTCAATTGAATTAATATTGATATACAATCTTTTTTACCGAAGTATCATTGGTATACAATCTTATATTGTTTTTCAAGTATGCAACAAAGTAGTTCAACAATTACCTATTTATTAAATCCTCACTCCCACTAGTACAGTTGCTATCTGTCAACACAGGAAGATGTTATAAAATCATTGACTATATTCTCCATGCTGTACTGCCATCACTGTGATGAACTTATATTATGATTGAGAACTTTTGTGCCCCTTTATCCCCTCAACCTTTATACCTCAATCCCTCCTTGGTAACCACCAGTCACTTCTCAGTGTCTATGAGTCTATTGCTATTTTGTTAATTTTGTTTTGTTTTTTAAATTCTACAAATAAGTGAAATCTATGGTATTTGTCTTTTACTGCCTGCCTTATTTCACTTAGCATGATACCTTTAGGTCTATCCATTTTGTTTCAAATGCAATGCCCAAATTTTTATACGCCATGTAATTCTTATCATTTAATTAAAAATATTTCCTAATTTCCCCTGTGATTTCTTTCTTTACACTAGAGTTACTTAGAAGTATATTGCTGGTGGTGATAGTTAATACTGTATTGTATATTTGAAAGTTGCTGAGAGAATAGATCTTAAAAGTTCTCATCACAAGAAAAAAATTCACAGCTGTATGTGGTGATGGATGCTAATTAGACTTATTGTGGTGATCATTTCACAACATATACAAATATTGAATCATTATGTTCAATATTTAATATTTAACATTATGCTCAGCATATAGCATTATATTATAACTAACATAATGTTACATGTCAATTATATATTGACATATATACTCAGATACTATGAATTTCTAATTTACTCCTACTGTGCCCAGAGAAAATGATTCTTTCTATATGTGTATTCACTAACAAAGATTTGTAACTACTAACATAAATTTAAAACTACTTTTTATGCTTTTGTGTTTTAAATTCTGTATCATATTTAAAAGTATGTTGTGTTATTTTCTTTTGGGATTTCATTTAAATTCAGCTACCTTTCCCAGTCTTTGCGGTCTGGTTTCATTCAAGAAAGACTTTCTCCATCAGCCCAAGCAGAGAATCTAGAGACCTCTAAAGCCTTTTCTGGGGATGTATCCTGTCTGGGTTTGTACACATAATCTCCTAAAGAGGTATGCCAGTTCCTACTAAAGATCCCCTTGTGTCTATCTGCAATACTTCAGCTTCTCTGATGCTGTAGAAAGCTGTGGTACTGTAGTGCCACTTAGTGTCTGTCTGTGGTACTGCAAACTCTGGTACTAGACGAAGCCACGTTGATTCCTTTGTTCTCAGTGGCCCCCAACCTGACATCCCATTCCCGTCCGGGCTTAGATTCAGGCAAGACAGAAACCAGTCCCTTGGTAGCATCCAAAAAATCAGAACATTGGAAATGCATTTTATTCCTTTCCCTCTCAAGGAAGAAGTCAGGATTTGGGGGGTTTCCTCCCAGTCATGCCATGCTAAGCCCAGAGAAGGTGAATGAATGCCAGAAATTTTCCCACTGGGCTTCAGTGTGTTTGGCTTTGTACTTGCCTAGAGTGCAGGAATCTTTTTTTGTCTGTTACAAAAATAGCCTTTACCATTTTCAGGAAAAAAATATGAGCATTTATTTTCTGTTTATCCATGTTTGCAGTCTGCTGGCTTCAAAAGATTAGGCATAAATTTGTACTCAGTCTCAGGAATACACCTAAACAACATAAGCTTTCAAATCTGAGGTGATCACTTTCGCAAAACCACAGATGGCTTATTCCAACAAGTGTCCACTCTTCTTCCTCCAATATAAGCAATGGAAGATACACTTCTTCATAATCACTTGAAGAGCAGACTGATGTCACTGCACCCAGACTCAGGGCAGTTGAATCTCCAGCAGGGATGGAAGAAGCTCTAAGCTAGTCCCTGAGTCACCAGCAGGAGAGGTGAGGTAGGATATTACATCTATTCACTGAACTGGGAGTAGGAGGGTCTCCCATTCCATTGGGTCCTATTAGGTTTTAATAAAGTAAAGCATGAATTTTCCCTGTTTACATTGTTTCAGATTTGTCTTTGTATTGATGACAAAGAAGGCACCCAATGAGTAGATGAAGCAGAAAAACATGAAGTCCCCAAGTCTAACAATGATATCCCTATCTAGAAATCTCAACTGGTTCCTGGATTTCTTACAAAGGTAACTGATTCATATATTGTTGTTAAATCTTTGTCTCCACGTTGGAAGGAATGTCTGGAGTTTCCTGTTCTGCCATCTTGTTGATGTCCTGTACTGCCTCATGATATCCTTTCTCTGCCTAGTGGTCACATTTCTCTGCTTCTTAACGTTTCTACTAATTGTTTTATGGATGTTCTGTTGTTGAGTGTCTGAATTGTATTGCCTTTCTTTACAAAGTTTTGGCTGTGTATTGATAGACAGTTAAGATAATTGATGTTCAATCTTTTCAAGACTTGTCCTTAAATTTTGTTAGAGTGGGTCTAGACTAGCCTTTGTTCTTGGGTTAGTTTAATAC